GCAGAGAATCGCAGTGTAAACAGCAGCCCCCGCAGACCCGAGGCTCGGGTTCCTGGCAACGCACACCACACACAGGATCCGGGTCCCCACTGCCACACACACATACACACGGACGTGCACACACTCAGACACACACTTCTGTTCACACACAGTGCTCAGAGATGACCGCTCCCACGGCGATCACACAATCACGTGTGGCTCACGCACAGCCTCTGCCCCAGACACGCACAGCATCATGACCCTACAGATCTACTGTTCACACCCAGTCACAAGCGTCCTCGCCAACGGCCTTACCGGCTCCGAGCCTCGCTGCTGCCCTTTCAGGCTCACACACTCGAGGGTCACATGCTGAGTGGGACGGCTCCCCACAGTCACAGCGCAGCCCCCCACAGTGACACACAGCTACACCGGCACCCAGAGATCATCACAGCTTGCCCCACACATAGTCGCAGCCACAGTGCACCCCGTGCAGCATGCGCATGGATGATAGCAACCACACAATCGGACTCTTCTTCACCGACACAGCCCCGCATCCTGCACACTGACCCTCACACACGCACTTAGGATCCCAATAGCCCCCACACCCTCACACTGACCCTCCTCTCACACACGCAGTCACAGGAGCTGCTCACAGCCATACACGCACCTTTGCGGACATACACACACACAACCACACACTTGGTCCACAGCCGCACCCCCTCACACACTGCCCTTCCCACGCACATACTCAGACATACCCCCACTGACACACACACACACATACTCAGCTAACACCTGCACACTGGTGGTCTTGCTCACCCTCAGCCCCACACAAGACACCACCACCCTCCACAGAGCATCCCCTACCCTTCTCAGTGTCCCCCCACCCTGCCCCAGCATCTCAGTCAGGCACGCTCAGCACCTTCCCCCCACATCCTCTTATTTCAGCTCTGCTCTGGGAACTGAAGAGGCAGGTAAGGTTCCAGCAGGTGAGGTCCCTGATAGATGAACATCACAACCATAACATCCCAGTAGCCCTACCCCCTCACACTGCTCCTCTTACCAAGACGTCCCCACAGCCAGACATACTCCCTTGCTGATACACAAACACAATCACCTTGATCCACAGCAGCCTTCAAGGTGAGATTCTGGCCGGGGAAGGCCTGGCAGGTAAGGCCATTGCCAGGGAAGCACCAGTAGGTGAAGTCCTGAAGGTAGGCTCCCCAGCAGACAAGCTCCCCAAAAGTGAGGTTGCCCCTGGCAGGTGAAGTTCCAACAGGTTGGTTTCCCCCAGCCAGGGAGGCCTCTCCTGGCGGTGAAGTGTCCAGCAGGTGAGCCCTCCTGGCAGGGGCCGGCTCATGTGAACCAAGACATGCTGCGTACTACCTTGTACCTGCTGCCCCGCCCAGCTTCCAGCAAGCCTGTGCCTCCTGTAGCCAGCCAGGTCCCCATCCAGAGCCTGCAAGTGGCAGGCCAGGACCTGGGGTCTGGTGAGTCGCCCATGGGCATGAAGGCGTAGTTGGTCCTGCAGGGCCCTGGCACCACCAGCCTGTCCCCGGCCTGCAGCACGGTCTTCCCTGTTAGGCCAGGGAGAATTTGTGCGGGGTCTGCCCTTCCAGCATGGCCGCTGGGGGCAGTGCCCAGTGGGAGCGCTCATGCAGGTCCCCCTGGAGACGGGGCCACACACCCCGGTCATCACACCCCGGTCATCACACACCCGGGCCCTGGCCTCCTGCCAGGTGGACACCACCCAGGCCACCAGCTTGGTCTCGGCTGAGCCTTGGCTCCAGCCGTAGTGTGCAATGATGTTGGAGTAGCTACAGTATGCCAAGGTCAGGTGCAGGTAGCCATCCAGGGTCTGCCCAAGGTCTGTAACTGCCAGCAGTTGGAGCAGGACTGCAGGCTGAACCAGCCCAGTGCTGGCCTGGGGGTCATGGGGAGGGTGGGGCTGCTCCCTCCAGCTAATGGCCTGGGGGTCCACACTGCAGTCAGCCATCAGTTCGCCAGGCCTTAAACAGGGGCAGGTCCACTGGGATATGAAAGGGCCACACCTGCAGCAGGATGACCAGGTTGGGGGTGGGAGGTGCTGCTGGGGGCTTCCCAGGCCAGACATTGGTGGATTTGATCAGCCGGATGGGGATGGGCCCCCCCCCCCCCATCCACATGCAGGTCAGAGAGGATGCAGCAGCAGCAGACCCAAGAAAGGTCAGGTCCAAGGTCAGAAGTTGGGGGAGGGAGCAGGGCGGAGACATCACTGACAGAATAACAGCTCCAAGGCAGATAGGGGGGGTCACCCCTAGTCCTGGGGTCACAGTGGCTTGGTGCCCTTCAGTTGACCCAGAGACAATCGCCCCCTCCCCCCCAATCAAGGGCTCAAACTACTCCCTCAGGTGTTCTTGGAAGGAGCCCCAGAGGTGTACAGATGGTGATGCCCTTGGCTGCTACCCAAAGGATAGTGGTTCAAGCCCACCCACCTGGGCTGAGGGAGAAAGGCCTGGGGGCTTGCACTGTAAAGACCACAGTAAAACAAAACCACAGAGTCGTTCCGTGCTGTCTCCGGGGGCGCCCACATTGATTCAATAGCCCCAACAACAATCATCTTTACGGAAGCAGACTGCCCGGCGTTTTTCCCTCGGAGCCCAGTGGGGTGGGGGGCTTCAAACCGACACCTCGCTGGCCAGCCGCTGAGCGCTCGCATTGTCCTTATAATTTTCCAAATGGGAACGCCGAGACCAAGAGACTCACTGCGAGGAATCTGCAGAGCCAGCCCGACTTTATTCTCTCCCAGCCCAGGTCGCTGGGAAGGAGGACAGGTGCCAAGGACTCTCAAGTGCCCGCACCCAGCCCGGCAGGTCCCAGCTCCTCTGGACTCTTATCCGGACCAAACCAAAACCGAACTCCCTGCCATTGAGTCGACCCCACCTCACAGCGACCCTCTACCACAGGGCAAAGCTGCCCCTGTGAGCTTCCGGGGCTGTGACTCTTTACAGGAGTAGAAAGCCTAGTCTTTCGCCCCAGACTGGCTGGTTCTTCCAAACTGCTGACCTTGCAGTGAGCAGTCTGTGCTAGCCTAGGTAAGCCGGAGAAGCAAGTTCATAGACAGTCACGGGGGTATAAGGAAGAGCTTTATATCAAAGAGTAATTGTCTATTAAGAAAACATCCCAGCCAAGCCCAGACCAAGTCCATAGATCCGATATTAGTTCATCTGTCCGATACCTCTCTGTAAATTCCTCTTCAGACCCATGCAGCACAGTCAGTGATGCTGAGTGCAGGAAGATCACAGGCCAGTGGGTGGAAAGTCTTGTGGATCCAGTGGTGGTGGAAGCATCTCAGCACTGGCGTGGGTTTCCACGTGGCTCCTCCAGCTCCAGGGCTCTGGCTCCATCGGCATAACTCCATGTGTCTTGTCAACAGGAATGTCTCCAGGGAGAGAGCCTGCGTCTGGTCTCCAGTGAGCTATTGATCTCCTTTGAGCTTCCAAATGAGGTCACCAGGCTGTGACCTGATTGACAGGCTAGACTCACCTTCAAAAAAAATCGATAGATTATGTAACTGCCACACAGCCCCACGTAACCGTCACAGCACCAGGGCTCATCTGGACGG